AATGACAATTCGAAAAAATGGCAGTTCGCATAAATGACAATTCATAAAAATGATATTTCGCAAAAATGACTTTTCGCAAATATGGCAATTCGTAAAAATGGCGATTTGCAAAAGTGACAATTCGTTAAAATAACAGTTCGAATAAATGCAATTCGTTAAAATGACAGTTCGGTCAAATGACATTTGGGGAATAATCATGCGCCTCCTCAACAACTTATAAGAATTTTATTATAAAACATAAAAATATGAATCAATTCCTATCTTCATGTTTCATAAAAATTTTAATTTCCATAAAATTTAAAAAAAAAAAAAATGTAATTATTTACAAAAATTATAATAAAATACGTTGCAAGAATTCAATTATTTTCATAAATAATAAAATTCTTCATATGGTTTCAATTATTTTTAATACAATTTTAAATAAATTTCTTGAAAAATGAAATTATCTTCAAAAATTTTTTGCAAGAATTAAATTACATTTCACAAATAATGTACATCTTCGCTGAAATTTAAAAATTTTCAAAATTTACTATTTTAATAAAAGTTCTCAAAAGAATTTAGTTATTTAAATAAAATGTAATAAAATTCGTTGCAGGAATTTAATTATTTTTACAAGTAATAACATTTTTCACATGAATTCAATTATTTAAAAAAAATTTGATAAAATTCATTATAAGAATGCCATTATTTTCATAAATTATAAATTTTTTTTGAGGATTTCCATTATTTTTAATACAATTTAAAATAAAATCCTATAGAAAAATGGAATTATTTTCTTAAATTTTTTGCAAAAATTTAATTACATTTCATGAATATAATGAAATTCTTCGTTAAAATTCAAATATTCTCAAAATCTACTATTTTAATAAAAGTTCTCAAAAGAATTCAATTATTTTAAAAAAAGTTTGATAAAATTTGTTGCAAGAATTCAATTACTTTCATAAATTAATAAAATTCTTCACAGGATTTCAATTATTTTTAATACAATTTTAAGTAAATTCTTCGAAAAATGTAATTATTTTCAAAAATTTTATTAAAATTCTTCGAAAGAATTCAATTATCAATTATTTAATTAAAAATTCATGCTATAATGATTTTAATAAATTCGTTAATATTCATTTTCAAATTAATTTTTATTGAAAAATTCCACGAGAATGCAATTATTTAAATACAAAACAATTATTTTATTGAACAATTAAATGTTTCTTAAAATTGAATTCTTACAAAGAATTTTATCAACATAATTTAATTTTTTCCAGGAATTTAAATAAAATTTTCAAGAATGATTAAATTAGAAGAGAAATTCGAAAGAAATTCGAAAGATTTCGAAAGAAATTCGATTAAAATTGCATTAAAAATAATTGAAATTCTATGATGAGTTTTATTATTCATGAAAATAATTGAATTCTTGTAAAAAATGTTATTATTTATGAGAATAATTGAATTATTCCGAAGAAATGTAAATAGAAAGTTTATAAATATGTAGTTGAATTTTTGTGAAATTGTTATTATATAAAAATAATTTAATGTTTGCTTAGAATTTTATCAACATTTTTTTTTAGTAGATATTGAAAATCATTGAATTGAGGAAAATTTTTTTAAATAATTGAAATTTTGCCAAGAATTTGATTAAAATTTTCGAAAATAATTGAATTTCAGAGAAGAATAAATTTAATTATTTCTAAAGATAATTGAAATTTTGACGAGAATTTTTAAAAAATTTTGAACATAATTGAATTTCTGCGAAGAAATTACGCACACAGACTATGTCCAAAAGTTTCCGGTACGTAGATTTATTATTTACAAAAGAAAAAAAATAAAAAAAACCGTTTATCACGTACAAATGAAAAAATTTGATTTTTCCAGTTGCTGATTACGAATCTAAAGTCCGATTTTAAAAATTCAAGATAGCGGATAACTTTTTAAAATATTTTATTCGTAGAATTCTTGAAGGCTACAAAATTTAAGAAAATTATGAAAATTTATAATTTGAATTCTTTTATTTCATTTTTTAATTAAAATTATTAGGAAATTAGGAATTTTAAATAATAATTTTAGGAATTTTCACTTAGCAAATTTTTTTTAGGAATTTACATTTTAGGAAACTTATTTTTAGGAAATTATTAAATTAGGAAAATCGTTAGAAAATCGATTTGTGACAATTTTCTAGTGAAACTATTAATATTTTCTAGCAGACATCGAATAGCTTAGGTTCAATAAACTGTATATTAAATATTCAAATAAAATGTCTTCCCATGAATTCAAAAATTAAATTTGGTTAGAGAAACTTTCTTTGGATTCTGCTTCGAAAAAAGAATACGCATTTTTATATTTTGAGAGTTGATGAAAGTAGAAGTTATGAATTATTGAAATTTAATGTTTTCAAAAACAGCTAGTGTACTTTTCGAAACCGTTTTTCGTCCTCAATATCAGAAAATAGAAAATAATGTACTGCATGGAATTTGTCGGAAGTTTCATTAATGTTTTAAATATGCAATCAATAATAACGAATCTATCATGGAAAATACCTACTTTTAAAAAATTGAGATTAAACTTAAAAAGTTTTTTTTCTCAATGATGGAGACTTTCCATTTTTAATTTTTTTCTTTTAACTTAATCTTTAAAAAATGATAAGTTTTTTCATGCTTTTGCGCATGTGGTGTTGTTTTATTTAATTATTTATTATTTATAATATTTCTGAAAATCAGTGAATGCATTTTGGAGTTACATTTTGTAAATATACAACTTAGTTTTATTCAATTTCTATTGAATGTCATTTGTTTGTTTTTTGTGGATCAATATTATTTATTTTGAGAGGAGTGTCAACATAATTTGCAGATTGTATCATTTTTGATTATTTATTTCCGATAAAGTTTTTTTTTTAATAGCTGTTGCAATCCACTTGAATTGAAAATAAATAATCGTTCGAAAAAGATTAATTTCTTTGATTTATTAACCTCGTTATTAAATTTTTGTTGCTCAGTGTGAAAATTCCTTCTCTTACTTTTCAAAAGCTTTGTTTAACTGAAAAATTTTCAGCTGACAAATTAAGCTTTCAGTTAAGAAAATATTCACTAAGATAAAGTTTGTTGTGAAGTATTTTTACACTTAAAGAAACCGTTTAGGAAATATAAGAAAGTCTCTTTCATAGAATCATGTGTCAGTAAAAAATTTGCCGTTTGAGTTACTACGATGTAATACAACGAACAATTATTGTAAAAAGTTTTAGTACTTCACGTACTGTAACACAATTCCTTTTGAATGATTTATTATCAATATTATTTCCCGTGTAATGGAATAATTACTTTTGTTGACAAAGAAGAGAAGATTTGAGCGTTTTTATTTATATTGACGATTGTGGACTGAATGAAATTGTAAGAAAAAAAAACGATTCAATTGTTATACAAATTTTATTGTTTGTCTTGACTCAAAGGATTTTATAAATATAAAGCGTTTAATGTAATGAGTCCTGCTTTATTCATTGTTCAATAAGCTTTAGCGAAATAAAAAGGGATTATAAAATAAAATTTAACTGTTTCATTGAATTATTTTTGAAGAATAGAGAGGGATTAATATATTGGAAAAAGTGGGTATTTAAATATTTCAGTGCAAACATTTTTCAGTGGTGATTTAAAAGGTTTATTTTGTATTTATTTGACAAATATTTAATTATAAAAATAATTATATATCATATAGAATAATCTTAGTATTTTTCTCTTTTCCTGTTGTAAAAAGATAGACAGAAATATCCTCCATCAGCATTTGGTATTGGAACAAATTTTTAGATTACGATCTTTCTGTGAAATCCTGATTATACTAAATTGAAAATTCAAGATAGAAAGAGAGTCGAGGTTAACTCAGTATTCAGAGTTCTTATCAGGTACATCCTCTTTAGAAAATTTTCTTTCGACTAAAAAAGAGAAACTAAGAAAAACAAAGTGAGAAAGAAGTAATGATAGTTCTTAACAAATGTGAATTTGTAAATTATTAAGTAAAAAAGTGATTTGTTGTTTTAGTGTTGTGAAGAATATCTGATTAAGTGATTTAAAGTTTTTTGCTTTTTAGAAAGCAGACTCATAAAAAATTAAATCAATTGAAAGAAGGAGTGTTCGATAGACCATAAATCAGAGCTTTGTTTCGAGAGTATCTCGAAGGTAGTAACCTTCGTTAGTACAATTAATTCTTTGGAAAAAGAGCCTTGCTTAGTTTTAAGGTAAAGGCCAAGAACTTCTTGGGGGCCATCCATAAACTACGTTACCAATTTAGGGGGGAGGGGGGTCCAAAAATCTACAAAATTGCATTTAACACAATGGTAACGAGGGGATCTAAAAAGAATGAAAAATTAGTAACGTAGTTTATGGACGGCCCCTTGAAAAATACAAAGTCATGGCTATAAGCAAATCGTGTTGAACATTATTAAAAACTTTCAAAAACATGTATTTCATTTTTTACCCTTCACCTTTAAAAGTGAATAACTTTAAATTTCAATTTTATTACTCTTTTAACCCTTTGACAACACTAGGGTTCTCTCAGACCTCGTGCTTTTTTCAAAAAGCATTTTAACTATATTTTAGTATTTTTAATAAGGAATTTAAAGTGAATAGACAGACCTATTTTGCAGTGATTAAACTATATTAGAAAATTCTTTAATTAGTTCAGACGATCACTTAGAAATTGATTGAGATTTAAGAAATGATAGTGGAAAGAGGTGTGCTTCAAAGGTTAATAGAATTAATTCACTGACTCAACTATTCCTGCCTTTCTGCAATTTTCAATATCATATCAGAACGAAGATTTTACAAAGTGAGTGTATCTTATTAAAAATCGGAGCCAATAGGTAATGCTGACTCAGGATATCTTTTTTCTTCTTTGTCTATATAAAGTAGGATATGAACACAATTCTAGAAAGAAGGAAGGAAGGAAAGAAATAATATAAAGATTGATATTTGATAAATAAATGATCATGGGAAGGTAAATAATTGAATAAGAAATCCAATGTGTTTCGTCAGTAATGCGACGTTTCGTTGGCTAAGGTTTGCCAACCTCATCAGGCTAAATTTATTAAAAACAGAAAAGGCACTTTAATATTTATAAAGGTTTTCTAAAAAACACTATTTTTCACTAAAGTAATTAACAACGAATAATATCCTACCTAATTCATTAAAACATAAAAACACTATTTTAGTTCGTCATGAAGAATAAAAATTAAATAAATAAATTAAAAAACAAAACACGACACATATTCCACACAAGAGATTAAATTTATAATTATATAGAAGAAAAGGAGACATTCCTCTACAACGACTCAGTGTCAACTGAAATAAAATTAGAAACTGAGATAAGAAAGTCAAAACTATGAAAACTAAAAGAGTCAATGAACTGATATGTAAACACAGGTGGTCAGCAAGATATGTTATTGTTTTGTCATTATGGACATGAGTCTATACATCTGAAAAGAGGAAAGAACGTTTTATTTAGAGTGAGAATATCTTCTTTTCTGTTAATAGTGGAATGATTTGTTTTTATGTGGATCATTTCCGATATTCGTCGTTTTATAAAATTTTTTTCATTGTCCAAAACCTTCACATTTTCCCAATCAAAATCATGATTGAAATTGATACAATGTCGGTACACTACAGAGTTGTCATTCACTTTTTTATGTTCGTTTATGCGAGTTAGTAAAGATCGTTTCGTCTCGCCAATATATGTTGCAGGGCAGGTTTTACAATCAAACTTATATACAACATTTGTTCTATCCCATTTTTTTGTCGAATCTTTACCTAGTTTGATGATAGAACTAGAATTTTTATTTATAAGAGGAATAGACGTGCAATTAAACTCTCTAAGGATATTTGACAACTTGAAAAAACATTTTTCATTAAAAGGTAAACAAACTTTTGGAATTTTACTATATATATTAGTTTTGTTATTATTATTATTAACATCAGAAAATTTTATTTTATTAACACGAATCTTGATATGTTTTTCAATGAAGTCTGAAGGATAGTTATTGTTTTTTAAAATATTTTTAATTTTTTTCAAGTTGTCAAATTGGAATTTTTTATTGGACAATGAAAATGCCCTATCTACAAGATTATATACAATATTCTTCTTCTGTTGAAGTGGATGATCTGAAAAATAGTTAATGAGTCTATCTGATGAAATCGGTTTTTGATACCAATTTGTAATAATTTTGTTGTTGTCTCTGATAAGCTTTAGATCGAGAAAGTTAATAGAATTTTCTTTTTCTTTTTCAACAGTAAATTGTAATTTTCGATTGTAAGAGTTAAAAGTGTCAATGACCAGATCAACATGTTCTTTTTTTATGGCTAAAATTGTGTCATCCACATACCTATAATAGAAAAGTGGAACACAATTATGTTTTTCTTTTAACTCTTTTAAACATTCAGTTTCCAGATCATCCATTACAATATCCGAGACGAAAGGTGAAATTGGAGAACCCATCGGAGTTCCGTATGTCTGTCTGTAGAATTTTCCATCAAAAGAAAAATATGTATTATTAAATACAAATTTAGTAAAATCAATAATGTCAGAGAATGGAATTTTACATTTTTGGTTTATACAACTAACACGTCGATCCAAACTCTGAATGACCAACTCACAAGACACATTTGTAAACATGGAACTTACGTCAAGTGAGATAAAAGTGTAGCTGTCGTCCATAGTAACATTGTCTAATTTGTTTTTAAGTTCTAAACTATTGTTAATGTGTGACCGAGGTAAAGTAATACAATTTTTTAAGGAGTTGTACAATATTTTTGCGAGAAAATGAGTAGGGCTATTTATTAAGGAAATAATCGGACGAAGTGGGACATTTTCTTTATGTATTTTTGGGAGTCCATAAGCTTTAGCCAAAACAGTGTCAGTCAAAGTCAATTGATTCGGGTGATAAACTTTGTCAAGGAATTCATTTTCATTTAAATATTTAAGAATTGATGATGTATTTTTGATAAGTTTTTTAATTGGATTCTTTTTTATAAGTTCATATGTTGTAGTGTCAGTAAACATATTTGTCATTTTTTGATTATAGTCAGTTTTCTTTAAAAGTACTGTCACATTGCCTTTATCGGCAGGAGTGAAAAAAAGTTCAGGATTATTTTTTAAAAAAGTTTTTGTAATATTTAATTTTTTTGAAAAAGATTTATCTTGATTAGTTAATGAATTCTTATTTTTCAAATTATTTGACAAAACATCAGAAAATTTTCCCCTTAAAGTATTTTTTGAATTTTCATCAATGTCGACTTTTGATAAACAAAACTCTAAGTTTTTTACGGTATTTATAATATCTACCTTAGAGATGTCTTTTGAAAAACAGAAATTGGGACCCAATGATGCAACTTCAGCCACTTCTGACGGGATCACAATATCGGTTAAATTTTTGAACCAATTTGGTTTGGAAATTTTGGTTTCGACTGATTGTTTTTTTATTAATGTTGTTAATTTATTTTTATGAATAGTATTATTGGCGTGTAAAATGCGAATGAACTTTTTTCGTGAAAGATCAAAAAATCTGTCACGAGACACGTTGTTAAAATTTGAATTTTTAATACTAAGTTCACAATAATTTTGAAGCTTTTTTAAGAATTCCACATGTAGATGAATGTCGTTGATTTCAATGTTTAATATGTTTCTTAGATAAGATGCATTTAATTTTGCAAAGGTTTTTTTGCATGACTTACTGTAAAAAGATGTAATGTTTACACGTTTTGTATATCCTTAGAGAGTTTAATTGCACGTCTATTCCTCTTATAAATAAAAATTCTAGTTCTATCATCAAACTAGGTAAAGATTCGACAAAAAAATGGGATAGAACAAATGTTGTATATAAGTTTGATTGTAAAACCTGCCCTGCAACATATATTGGCGAGACGAAACGATCTTTACTAACTCGCATAAACGAACATAAAAAAGTGAATGACAACTCTGTAGTGTACCGACATTGTATCAATTTCAATCATGATTTTGATTGGGAAAATGTGAAGGTTTTGGACAATGAAAAAAATTTTATAAAACGACGAATATCGGAAATGATCCACATAAAAACAAATCATTCCACTATTAACAGAAAAGAAGATATTCTCACTCTAAATAAAACGTTCTTTCCTCTTTTCAGATGTATAGACTCATGTCCATAATGACAAAACAATAACATATCTTGCTGACCACCTGTGTTTACATATCAGTTCATTGACTCTTTTAGTTTTCATAGTTTTGACTTTCTTATCTCAGTTTCTAATTTTATTTCAGTTGACACTGAGTCGTTGTAGAGGAATGTCTCCTTTTCTTCTATATAATTATAAATTTAATCTCTTGTGTGGAATATGTGTCGTGTTTTGTTTTTTAATTTATTTATTTATTTATTTAATTTTTATTCTTCATGACGAACTAAAATAGTGTTTTTATGTTTTAATGAATTAGGTAGGATATTATTCGTTGTTAATTACTTTAGTGAAAAATAGTGTTTTTTAGAAAACCTTTATAAATATTAAAGTGCCTTTTCTGTTTTTAATAAATTTAGCCTGATGAGGTTGGCAAACCTTAGCCAACGAAACGTCGCATTACTGACGAAACACATTGGATTTCTTATTCAATTATTTACCTTCCCATGATCATTTATTTATCAAATATCAATTAAACCATGGAAGGATTTAAATCTACTCAATTATCAATTTCGAGTCTTGGATCGGAGATAGACTCAACCTTGTTGTCAACATCCTTTTTCACATATATTGGTGAAAAATATGGAAAACATCTTAAAGATCTTTTAAAAAAATGGACATCTACAAATAAACAATTGGCGACGGCACTTTCAAAAAAGGTTTTTCTGTTGAGTTGTAGAAATAACAACGTCTTTCCTCAACATATCATCAATCTACAAAAACGTGTAAACATTACATCTTTTTACAGTAAGTCATGCAAAAAAACCTTTGCAAAATTAAATGCATCTTATCTAAGAAACATATTAAACATTGAAATCAACGACATTCATCTACATGTGGAATTCTTAAAAAAGCTTCAAAATTATTGTGAACTTAGTATTAAAAATTCAAATTTTAACAACGTGTCTCGTGACAGATTTTTTGATCTTTCACGAAAAAAGTTCATTCGCATTTTACACGCCAATAATACTATTCATAAAAATAAATTAACAACATTAATAAAAAAACAATCAGTCGAAACCAAAATTTCCAAACCAAATTGGTTCAAAAATTTAACCGATATTGTGATCCCGTCAGAAGTGGCTGAAGTTGCATCATTGGGTCCCAATTTCTGTTTTTCAAAAGACATCTCTAAGGTAGATATTATAAATACCGTAAAAAACTTAGAGTTTTGTTTATCAAAAGTCGACATTGATGAAAATTCAAAAAATACTTTAAGGGGAAAATTTTCTGATGTTTTGTCAAATAATTTGAAAAATAAGAATTCATTAACTAATCAAGATAAATCTTTTTCAAAAAAATTAAATATTACAAAAACTTTTTTAAAAAATAATCCTGAACTTTTTTTCACTCCTGCCGATAAAGGCAATGTGACAGTACTTTTAAAGAAAACTGACTATAATCAAAAAATGACAAATATGTTTACTGACACTACAACATATGAACTTATAAAAAAGAATCCAATTAAAAAACTTATCAAAAATACATCATCAATTCTTAAATATTTAAATGAAAATGAATTCCTTGACAAAGTTTATCACCCGAATCAATTGACTTTGACTGACACTGTTTTGGCTAAAGCTTATGGACTCCCAAAAATACATAAAGAAAATGTCCCACTTCGTCCGATTATTTCCTTAATAAATAGCCCTACTCATTTTCTCGCAAAAATATTGTACAACTCCTTAAAAAATTGTATTACTTTACCTCGGTCACACATTAACAATAGTTTAGAACTTAAAAACAAATTAGACAATGTTACTATGGACGACAGCTACACTTTTATCTCACTTGACGTAAGTTCCATGTTTACAAATGTGTCTTGTGAGTTGGTCATTCAGAGTTTGGATCGACGTGTTAGTTGTATAAACCAAAAATGTAAAATTCCATTCTCTGACATTATTGATTTTACTAAATTTGTATTTAATAATACATATTTTTCTTTTGATGGAAAATTCTACAGACAGACATACGGAACTCCGATGGGTTCTCCAATTTCACCTTTCGTCTCGGATATTGTAATGGATGATCTGGAAACTGAATGTTTAAAAGAGTTAAAAGAAAAACATAATTGTGTTCCACTTTTCTATTATAGGTATGTGGATGACACAATTTTAGCCATAAAAAAAGAACATGTTGATCTGGTCATTGACACTTTTAACTCTTACAATCGAAAATTACAATTTACTGTTGAAAAAGAAAAAGAAAATTCTATTAACTTTCTCGATCTAAAGCTTATCAGAGACAACAACAAAATTATTACAAATTGGTATCAAAAACCGATTTCATCAGATAGACTCATTAACTATTTTTCAGATCATCCACTTCAACAGAAGAAGAATATTGTATATAATCTTGTAGATAGGGCATTTTCATTGTCCAATAAAAAATTCCAATTTGACAACTTGAAAAAAATTAAAAATATTTTAAAAAACAATAACTATCCTTCAGACTTCATTGAAAAACATATCAAGATTCGTGTTAATAAAATAAAATTTTCTGATGTTAATAATAATAATAACAAAACTAATATATATAGTAAAATTCCAAAAGTTTGTTTACCTTTTAATGAAAAATGTTTTTTCAAGTTGTCAAATATCCTTAGAGAGTTTAATTGCACGTCTATTCCTCTTATAAATAAAAATTCTAGTTCTATCATCAAACTAGGTAAAGATTCGACAAAAAAATGGGATAGAACAAATGTTGTATATAAGTTTGATTGTAAAACCTGCCCTGCAACATATATTGGCGAGACGAAACGATCTTTACTAACTCGCATAAACGAACATAAAAAAGTGAATGACAACTCTGTAGTGTACCGACATTGTATCAATTTCAATCATGATTTTGATTGGGAAAATGTGAAGGTTTTGGACAATGAAAAAAATTTTATAAAACGACGAATATCGGAAATGATCCACATAAAAACAAATCATTCCACTATTAACAGAAAAGAAGATATTCTCACTCTAAATAAAACGTTCTTTCCTCTTTTCAGATGTATAGACTCATGTCCATAATGACAAAACAATAACATATCTTGCTGACCACCTGTGTTTACATATCAGTTCATTGACTCTTTTAGTTTTCATAGTTTTGACTTTCTTATCTCAGTTTCTAATTTTATTTCAGTTGACACTGAGTCGTTGTAGAGGAATGTCTCCTTTTCTTCTATATAATTATAAATTTAATCTCTTGTGTGGAATATGTGTCGTGTTTTGTTTTTTAATTTATTTATTTATTTATTTAATTTTTATTCTTCATGACGAACTAAAATAGTGTTTTTATGTTTTAATGAATTAGGTAGGATATTATTCGTTGTTAATTACTTTAGTGAAAAATAGTGTTTTTTAGAAAACCTTTATAAATATTAAAGTGCCTTTTCTGTTTTTAATAAATTTAGCCTGATGAGGTTGGCAAACCTTAGCCAACGAAACGTCGCATTACTGACGAAACACATTGGATTTCTTATTCAATTATTTACCTTCCCATGATCATTTATTTATCAAATATCAATTAAACCATGGAAGGATTTAAATCTACTCAATTATTAATATAAAGATTGTTATAGATAACTAGTTGTAAAAAGCGTGCAAGCTGTGTTACATTTTTCGAGTCATAGTTATTTATCAATCCATTTTTATCAAGGTCTCTAGTGAAAGCTGTAATCGACCCTTATTTAATTATTTAGAACAACTAAAATTGTTGCTCCCTTCCTCTCAACAAAAATATTTTGAGTTAAAGATCATCCCACCAAAAAAATCATTAATGAATTAATACACTGAACTGTCAATTTACCGAATTGCATTTATCTGAACTGTTATTTTAACGAAATATCACTTTTGCGAATCGCCATTTTTACGAATTGACACTTTTGCGAAAAGTCATTTTTGCAAAATATCATTTTTACGAATTGTCATTCTCACGAATAGTTATTGTTCCGAAATGATATTTTTTCGAATTGTCATTTTTACGAAATGTCACTTTTACAAATTGTCATATTTTCTAATTGTCATGTATGCGAATTGCCAATTCTTCGAATTGTCATTTTTACGAAATGTCCCTGTTGTGAATTGTCATTTTTGCAAAAATTGCTTTTACGAATTTTTACGAATTGTCATTTTTACGAAATGTCCCTGTTGCGCACAGGTGTTTGGAGACAAAAAAAGTTCAGTTATCTTTCATCTTTTAAATGTTGTTACAAAACAAATTTTTAAAAAAAATTTTTTTAAGAAAATAAAAAATTATATAAACAAATTTTTTTAAATTTGGACGTTTTAAAAAAAACATAGCTGGCAATGATAAGAATAGTTTGCAAAATGTTTCAGAGTGTTCTTCTTGAATTTGATGTGTTAAAATAAATTTTTAATTTTATCGTGCAAGTTTTATGCGCTCTGCACTGTGCACGTTTTTTGAAAAAATTAAAATTTTTCAAAATCCATACGATTGATTATTTATTATCGTAAGAAAAGCATACATGGCAACGAAAAATAATAAAAAATGTAGAATTAGTTGAATTTTTTAAAAACTACTATTAAAATTTGAGCCATTCAAAAATAACCATTTCTAGGGGTATCAAAATAATTTTTGCTCCTTAAAAACAATTTTTTCTGAAAAAAATTCCAAATCACCCCTATAAAGGGGTGTTTTTTCCATAAATGAACAGCTACGATTTTCGGGTTAAGTTTTCTCTTTTCAGAGGGTGCTAAGGAACCAGTGGGTAACAATGAATTGTTTTGGCATCGTAGGCAAACTTTTTTTTCCTTCCAGACACCTGTGTGTGAATTGTCATTTTTGCAAAAATTGCTATAGTAAACTTGTATGCATATGATATATAGATTTACTATAGCAATTTTTGGAAAAATGACAATTCGCAACAGTGACATTTCGTAAAAATGACAATTCGAAGAAATGGCAGTTCGCATTCATGACAATTCACAAAAGTGACAATTTGTAAAAATGTCGATTCGCAAAATGACATTTCGTAAAAATGACAATTCGAAAAATGATATTTCACAAAAATGACTTTTTGTAAAAGTGACAATTCGTTAAAATAGTGATACACAAAAGTAACATTTCGTTATAATAACAGTTGGGATAAATGCAATTCGGTCAAATGACATTTGGAGAATAATCATACGCCTCCGCCTATGTATAATATTCCAGAGATTATTAACGTTTGTTTATAGAAATTCCACTATTGATATATATATATATATATATATATATATATATATATATATTTATTATAACATTGATAACAAAAACATTGATATATATGTATTACTTTGTAATTTGAACTCTTAAATTAGACTAGTTATTTATTAGTTACGAATGGAAGATTCATAAATTCGAATTTCTCCAGTTTGAATGTCGAAAAACCGACATTCGATATTATATCTTAAAATTGTTGATGAGAATGCAGTTAGAGATAATACATGATTTAAATAATTAATTAGTGTTAGATTTAATAAAGGGCGTTTTTTTGTAAGCTCGTATAAATTGTTAAATAAATAAATGACCCATTGATGATCCACGTGATTGAGGGCTGAGAATTAAATAAAATAATTAAGAAAAGCAAATATAATTAAAACATTTTTACTGTTCCATTATCGTTTTCTTCTGCCGATTTAAATGTGTCTCCTTGATTGCACAATTTTTTTCGCTCACGTTTAGTGCATATGTCGATTTCTTACTCTACGTATCTAGTCTAGAATTTATCCCATGATCTATTGTGACAAACGTTGCTAAGATGTGCACTCTGAGAAATTGGTCTGTCTACTTCTGGAAAAGATCAATTCAATATAGGAACGCTGCCCATATTCTAACCCATGGTGCGTTCTGAGGCATGAGATCTGCTTTCCAAGGTAAAAACCTTGTAATCGCATTTTCCGTAAGGTCGTGGTTTGTTTATAACCTAACTGAACTTCGATCTTATGTGAAGGTTATTAGGTTTTTACTTTGGACAATACACGGAAAAAAAGTACGTGAAATTTTAATTGACTGGGTGCTTGACTTTTGGATGGAGACAGAAGTTCGTTAATAAAGAGAAACCTGTCTTCGAAAAAACGGTAAGTTAGTCCAAGAAAGATTCTAGTACTTTGAGGCAGCACTTAAATGAAAGTACTAGAAATTTTCTAGTACCAGGTTATATTAAAACAAAATGCTGTCAATGAAAGTCTAACAGCTGAAAAAAGAATGTATATAGTACTGGCATATTTGTCTTTCAATACTGGTCAATGAAATTTTCATGGACTTTTGAAAAATAAAATACGTTAAATTTTAGTAAAAAAATTCATTTAATTATTATTATTATTATTTTCACTTATTTATATTACACACAACATCACAATTTTTAAGTATGAAGACACACATATACAATTATCGCAGAATCGCAGAATTAAATTAATTTAATGGATAAGGGGGATCGAACCTACAGAACACTAAGCCTACCTAACACGCATATATTTTATAACTTAAAAACTAAACGATTAAACCGCACGGCCGTCGCTCGCTGTCGACAGGGAAACCGAACCGTGAATATAACCTACAAGTCAGGGCAGTGACAACAACATCTGCGCCCCATTCGACATAAGAATTTTTTTAACATTTGCATGAACATTTAAATTAGTAAATAATTAATTTCAATTGCAAAGAAATTTAAACAATTGTCAAAGAGAAATTTTATATACTACAGATTAAACGCCATGGCCATCGTACGCTGATGAAAACCGGAACTAGCCATAAATACAACTTACAAGTCAGGGTCGTGACAACAATATCTGTACCCCATTCAACATGGAAATTTTTTAAAAATAAATTCAAATTGAACATTCCTTGATAAATTAACATTATAAGAAAGTTACAAACATAAAAAAATAGTTTCATTTCGAAAATAAACATCAATCACATCCAATGTTTTGCAATATAATAATAACCATCAGATAACATATTTCTTGCACTAATTGGAGAATTGTAAGTGATGTCAGTCATATTAAGAACACAAAAAGAGAAATTAGTATTATCAAAAATTTTATATGCTTGAAAATGTTCAATCAAAAAACAATCGTGCATTAGCTTTGAAACAATTTGAATATTGTTTTCTAAAACAATAATTTTATCAACTAAATAAAATTTAGGGCCATCCTCTGAGAAAATTGTTATAAAGCAATTACATTTAATTTTGCGACCCAAAAATATAATCCAATTGGTTAAAGTCACTTTCATTCCAGAAGTAAAGGGTAGTAAGTGATAAAAATTTGAAACACCGTCTAAATCTTCAAAATTAACACTTTTTGTTGGTCCAGTTGTAAAAGGTTCTATATTTTCATCTCTAGCCAAAAACTTGTAATTAAGTATTAGTTGATGTTTACAAGCGATTGTATGGCAAATATTATTTCTACAAATTGATACATGAGATGTGATTTTTCCTTCTTTATGTTTACTCTCGTTTCTTAGGGAGCTTACTTGAGTTAGAGGCCCAATCTTTTTCATTATTCTAGGATAATGAATTAGAAAGTGGTGTTTGAGTTTAAAATGATTTGGATAAAGATTGGATAATGCCTTTAAATATTCTGTAATTTCTGTGTCCAGTTGAATGTGAGTAGATTTGTGAATAGTTTTGCTGAAGGCTATTTCAACTATTGCCTTTAATTTAATTATCAATAGCCAATGAGAATCTCCTTCAGGAACTAATGGTCCCAAAATAAGAAATAAACTTCTGAAAAAGTTCATCATTTCAGCAGCTGATCAAATAATATAGCCGTTTTTTAAATGTTGAGCTGAAATTGACAAAGGCTTATTTAAATTGTCATCAACTCCGTACTGATAACCGGATAGTCTGCAATTTAAGTCATCAAGGGTAAAATATTTTTCAGTGAAAATGAAATAATTTAAGATAAGGGCTAAATCGTAACGTAAAATTCCTTCTGAAATGTCATGTTGAGTATCGACACTCATATTTCGAACAACATGAAAATCTTCGATTTCGCTAAAGACACAATCGCTTTTTATTCCAGACTGTGATATGTTTTTTAATTCCAATTGATTTTTATAATTTTCTTCGTTGCGAAGTACACAATTTCGTTCATTAAATACTTTGATAATATCATGTCGTTCATTGAGACAGAAGCGGCAAAAAAATTTGGCCGAAAAGCTTTCGGGAGAACCTAATAAGGCACTCATGCCAAGATTATCACCCAGAAGTAAAATGAACTTAAAAAAAATTCTTACTTCTTTGTTGTCAATACACACAATTATGCCTTCACGCAGTAAAAAATGGAGGTCTTCGATAGCTTTGGTGAAAACGATTTTATTAGAAAATGCTGCCCGATGTTTGCTATTAAAAAGCAGAAAAAGAAATATGTTGCTCACTTTAGAACGAATTTCCGGTGGTAAAGTTAAAATGTTTATATAGAAAGCCCCACATTTATTAACTCCTTTATGGCTACCCAAA